GAGTAATGTATAACAAGCCTGGAAAAGGGGACTGAGATAGACTTGGCAAGATTTTTAAGGTCAAACATAGGAGTTTATATTTTATTCTAGAAGAAACTGGGAACCATCAGGACTTATTTAGCAGAGGAATCTCTTGCAGTAGCACTTTGGCAGCCATGTAGCTTTTTGAGTGCAAAAAATTATCAATGAAAGCTGAAGAAAGTAGAATTATTTAACCCGAAGAGAATATTAAAGGGACACTCAATAGTAATCTGCAGGTATATTAAGATGCATCATGTGGGTGATAAGCTACATCTGGCATTCATCTCTACTGATGAAAGAAGCAGAAAATAAACTACAGCAAGAAAGATTTGGATTAAGATATTTGGAGAGAGTCGTGAGAGTCAATATTAGAAAATAATTGAATCAGTGGCAGCAAGGGCACAGATACCTTTCCTGGTGAGCTGTAGACTAATGTCAGTGTGATGGTTTAAACGAACGTATGTTCCTCAAAGTAGAAGAATGGACTCAATGACCTCTGGAATGTCCTTCCTTCCAAGTATTGTAGGTGTACATCATGATGTTGGAGATAACGTTTAGAGAACTAAGGCAAAGGAAGGTGTGGGTGGGGACTATCAGAGCTATCCTTGAAAGGAGTATGGCCCGAGTTGGGTCATGTACTCTGCCTCTAACATAATGATATTTGGTTTAAAGGCAGTTAATAAATTTCTCCCTCACAAAATAAAGCCTCTCCCTTTTCTAAATATCCTCTACTCACCCTCCAACATGGCTTTTAAGACAGATGGTTTATGGATTATAGATAAAATCAGAAATTCTTCTGGATGCCAAACAGATGCATGCCTACAATCTCTGCTTCTCCCTTGTCCTTCTCTCCCTCTTTTAAAGAACATTCATATTTAATTTAATTCTTCCAAATGGCTTCCCCATCAGCTCATCTTCCCATTCTGCTATGCATCACAGTCTCTCTTAATGTAGCTACCTGCCAAATTAAATTTAATGGTTGATCTGCTAGAAGATGGCCACAGGATATTGCCAAGTGCTCTTGCATCTTGTTTTTATGGACTTTCACACCTGCTAGTTCTTTTTGCTTTATTATTCAGATGGGTATCACAAGAGGTATTGCCCCCCCCTTTTTTTACCCTATCTAACAGCATCATAATCTCTCCCTCTATTTCATCATAAGTCACTTTCAGTATCTCTGGGAAAAGTATAGGTTTCCCCTATGCCTTTGGGTGAGGGATGGGTTTGGGTAAAGAACTTTGTGGGAAGAAATTCCTCTTCCAAATAGACAGAAGAATGTTATGACACCAAGTTTGTTTGAACCCATTTGGAGACTGATAGATTCATAAGTATAATAGTTTCATGTGATTGACAGCCATAGGGAACCTTAGAAATCATCTAGTCCTCCTCTTACAGATGAGGAAGCTTGAGTCAAGTGACTTGCATGGGGTCCTCTACCTATTCAATGGTAGGATTAAAACCCAGGGCACCTGACTGAAAACCCAGTTCTCTTTCCACTTCACCAAATTTCCTGGTCAGTGGCTTATGTTGTGGCTGTGCATATCTACTCAACTCTGCCTAGGAGCAATAAGAAAATTAGGCGGCAAGCCAGGGTCTCTGCTGCTTTGCTCTCTGTCCCTTCAGGTAGGCCCCATTTGAGGAGATTCCAACAATTTGGACCAGAGCTGACAGCCATTCTGAAACACTGAGCCAAATCTTTGTTTATTCCTCCATGGCCAGTCTTCCACAGCCATCCAAATGCTTATTCCAGTGTCCATCCTTCTAGCTTTTAGGTCTTTCCCTTTTGGCCAATTCCTCGAACTTCTTTATCAAAGGGAGGGGAGATGGGGAAGCTGGAAAACAGAGAGGTAAGAAGGAAGTTACGGCAGAAATTTATGTCTGAACACTCTTGCCTGCACCCTATTGTTCCACTATTATTGTTGTTGTTTGCTTGTTTCAGTCATGTCCAACTCTTTGGGATCCCATTTGGGGTTTTCTTGGCGTAGGTACTATAGTGGTTTGTCTCCTTTTCCAGCTCATTTTACGGATGAGGAACTGAGACAAACAGGGTTAAGTGACTTACCCAGGGTCACACAGCTAGTAAGTGTCTGAGGCCAGAAGATGAGTCTTCCTGACTTCAGACCCAGCACTCTATCCACTGTGCCATCAAGCTGCCCCCATAAAGAATGTTACATTTGGAATGAGAAGACCTTGTTTTAATCCCAGCTCTTCCACTTACCCATGTAACCTTGGGCAAGTCATTTGGACTAGACCACCTCAAGGTCCTTCCCAGCTCAACATCTAAATATATGATTCTGTGATCTCTGATTGAATGAATCCACACAGCTAGACTGAGATGAGGACAACTGTCCAGGAGAGAGGGAACTGAGGGACAAGACCCTAACCCGGAGTGCTCTGGAGAGTCTGACACTCTCTCAGGACTCCCTCCAGAGCATAGCTTCTGCATCTTTTTGATGTCCTGGTACCCCTTTGCTAGTCTGGTGGAGACTAGGGACCTCTTCTTGGAATGTTTGTTGCCTAAATTCATAATGGAAGGAAATGCTAGGTTTCATTTCACTGTTAGTGAAAATAAAGATGTAATCTGTCTAGTTCAGGGACCAAGGGTGAAGAAATCCTGCTAAAAGCTGGTGGAATTTGGGACTTCCCAGGACTTGGTCCTTGTGGATGAGTAAAATCATGTTAGTAACTAGCAATACCTTCCGGTGGTTAAATTCCTCATTGTAATTCCTCAATTTCAGCTCATACTTTAATTACAGCTATATAGTTTATATACTAGTTTAACAGAATTAGTCTTAAATTCAGAATACTTGAATTCTGGTCCCAGATCTGCCACCGTATGGTCTGGAATAAGTCACCTTCCCCTAATTTTCCTAATTTGATTTGGATGTGGGTTGTACTAGATGATCTCTGAAGTCCTTTCCAGCTCCAACAAGAGAGCAACGTGGGAGAAGGGAGAGAAGAATGGCCACAAAGACAAATTTCTTCCTTTCCCAGCTGTTCCCAGTGATTATGAAGCCAGTGGGATAGGAGGGACTGGAGGAGGAGGAGGAGAGACCTGGGAAAGAGGGCATAGGGAGAGGGAGAGTAGATGGAGGATTTTTTTCACTGAGAAGAATTAATGTAAGTGGGCAACAACTGTGTAGAAGACCTAAGCCACTCAAAATTATCTCTCCTGCCAACTTTGACTCAAGGTTACAATTGCAGGGCCTAGATCAATATAAATATAAATTATAAGTTGTACAGAGAGATAAATGCAAGTGTTGTGAGGACTTGGAGTTATGTGGAGACCTAGATTCTAATGGAGTTAGTCTGAGGAGTTTTCACAGAAGAAGTGTTTCCTGGTGCAAGGGAAGAGAAATGTTAAGGGGGGACAGTAATTGGAGACTGTAAATGGGCCAGCCTTGGGAGAATGTCATACATGGTGAATAAGACACTTAGCCAACTTGCATTATAGCATGTAGAGCTTGAACGAGAGTTCAAAGTCATCTCACCCAATATACTTCATCTTATATTTGAGGATGCTAAGGCTTAGAAGGAAGTAGCTTGCCCCAGGTCACTTATATAGGCAGTAAGTAAAGCCAGGGTTGGAATCTAGGTCTTCTGACTCCTGAGCCCACATTTCTTCCAGTATGCCATATTGCCATATCATCATTCACTCATTTATTCCCTTGCTTCTCTGAATTTTTCATATTGGTGACTTCTTACAGCACAGTAATAGTCTGTTATATTTGTGAAACAAAGTTTAGGTGACCATTCCCCAACTGATGAATTTCTAATTTGTGTCTAGTTCAAAGGTTCATCTCTACTTCACCCTTATCATGATCTATCCTCATAGTTCCTACCCTTTTTCTCAGTTCATCACCTCTGTTTGAGCTTCATTTCTCTTGCTGCCCAGTCTTGACCCACTATCAGCTATTTAAAAATTGTTCTTTTCCAAACAATTTCCATACTACCAACCCCAAAATCTTCCATCTATTTTTCCAGAATTACTCTGAAACAGCTAAAAACTGCTAGAAATCAATAAATTGTGATGATTGATTAGTTCACTATAAATTTGTGCTGCTCTCACCTAGACCCCAAGCTCTGCATACCATTCCTGTCACATTTGCCCTCTCAACTATAACAAAACTTTTCTCCTCTGCTCATAACTTGTAACTCTAAGACCTCCCCTCCAGTAAATGACCTTGCCTTCTTATATCTATATCCTTAGGAGGTTCTGTGATTTCATGAATGTGGGTACCCATCAGTCCAGATGGCATCTCAACTATGTCTTTTCATACTATGTGATTCTTGTCCATGTCTTTTTAAAAATACCCAATAGAAGATCCATCCAGTGTACTGGAGTCCCCCTTTATGGTTCTTTGAATTTGTTGGAGACACCTTTGTAACAGGTTCCCCCTGTTTTGTCTGGCATTCGTGTTACATGGCTGGCACACTTCCCTTTTCTTATCCTAAAAGACTGATGTTGTCTTTCAGGCTACTTCTAAAGCAAAAACTATCATTAGGGCACGAGAAAAGTCTTCATCAAAAAGGACTTCCAAGAACTGACCTTGAAGTGTGGAGTGCAGAAAGAATAATGCATTGAGAATCAGGATTCCAGAAGGGTTGGAGTCCCAACTCTTTCCTTGACTATCTGCTTGACCTTGTACACATTATTCATTGCTCTGGACTCCAGATTCTTCATCATCAAAATGAGGGGTTTAGATTGGGATTTGGCCTTTTCTGGCTCTAATTATCAGTTCACTATAAATGTCAAGCATTTATGATGGTGCCAGGTATGGGGCTAAGTGCTAGGGATATAAAAGAAAGGCAAATAGACTATAAGTCTAACTATCTCTAGGAAGGAAATAGTTTCTGGTATGTGGGATGAAATCAGCTAAAGTTTAGGCCAATTGATAGTGGACCCTTAAGACTCTCCCTGGTCAGCCCCCAGTAGATGTGTTCTTCCCTGTAACAAACACAGTTTTCATTGCTTTCAGCGACTTCACAATGAGTTGCCTCTCAGCTTGGAGGATCTGGAAGATGTGTTTGATACCCTGGATGCTGATGGCAATGGCTTCCTGACTCCAGAGGAGTTCACCAGTGGATTCAGTGAGTCCCCAAATCACATATCTATCTGCAGATTCTAGATTCTCTCAACTTGTGAGAAGAATGAGAACGTGAAGAATAACTCATGACTCATATTCCTGCCCAGTGATTCAGGGGCTCATGGACCAAGGTTGTGGTTTGTTTAGGCTCCTTCACTTTTCTTATTCCTCTTGCTTGTTCGTTGCTACCCATCCTTCAAGGGCCCACTGAGTCGCCACCTCCTCCATGAAATCTTCCCTGATTCTTTCAGCTGTTTAGAGCCTGGTCCCCCACCTGAACTCCCATTACATGGATGGTAGGATTATCAAATTTAAAGGTGACACAAAATTGGGAGGAATAACGGATCTATTATATTACAAAGCAAGGATTCAAAAGGATCGCAACAGACTAGAAAGATGGAGCAAATTTAATAGGTATATATGTTGTCAGTCAATAAACATCTATTATGTGCCAGGTACTGTGCTAAGTCCTGAAGATACAAAGAAAGGTAAAAGACATTTCCTGCTTTCCAGGAGCCCATGGTCTAAGGTGAGAGACAACACGCAAATAACTATGTACAAACAAGACATATGCAGTATAAATTGGACATAATTAACAGAAGGAAGGCACTAGAATTAAGGGAGATCAGGAAAGGCTTCCTATAGAAGGTAAGATTTGAGATGGAACTTGAAGGAAGTAGGAGGTGGAGATAAGGAAAGACATACTTGTACTGTCATCTACTGTACAGTAGAGGATGGAAGAAGTATGGCTAGACAATACTTTGTGTCAACTGGGGGTTTAAGCAGATTTCAAGTTCAATTTGAATTAGCAGTGTGACATGGCAGCCAAAAAACTAATGTAATCTTAAAGTGAATTAATAGAAGCACTGTCTAGGGAGGAAATAGTTCTGCTGTAGTCTTATCTGCTCAGGCTAAACCTGTAGCATCGTGCCCAGGTCTGGCAGAGCTGCATTCATTCAAGGAACCATATTTTAGGAAAGACGTCGGTAGCATGTCTAGAAAATGACAAGGAAAGCAAATGGCCTCAGGGCCATAGGATGAATGTTTGAAGGAAACGGAAATGAAATAGCTGGAAGAGAAAACGTATAGGAGACATAGTATCTGTCTTCAAGTATCTGCTGTTATGTGGAAGGGAGTTTAGTTTGGTCCTACAGAACAGAACTAGGAGCAGTGATGAATGGATGTTGAGGGAGTTACATGTAAGGTAAACCTTCCTAACAATTAGAATTGCCCTGGGCAGAATGGACTTCTGGAGAAGGAGGCAGTGTCTCCTCCCTAGAGGTGTTCAAATAACCATTCTGTATGGGTTTGTAACCATTTGTTTGGGACAGTGTAGAGGGCGTGAGTTCAAACTAGATGGTCCCTGGGGTCCCTGACAGCTCTGAGGTTCCGTGATTGAAGTGTCCACATTCCACTGCTTCCCTCTATCTGACATGATGGAGAATAGGTAAGGTAAACAGTTCGCTCCAGCTGGGGATTAGCTGAGAGTGGAGAGTCATGCTTAGGAAACCATACCATCATGTTCTGTTGTTGTTCAATTGTTTTAGCCATGTCCAACTCTTTGTGACCCCATTTAGGGTTTTTTTTGGCAGAGATACTGGAGTGGTTTACCATTTCCTTCTCCAGCTCATTTTATAAAGAAAATGAGGCTAAACAGGGGCAAGTGACTTGCCTAGGGTCACATAGTACATGTCTGAGGCCAGATTTGAACTCAGGAAGATGAGACTTTCCACCTCCAGGCCTAGCATTCTGTATGGTGTACCAAAAGCAACAAGCTTAAAGTCAGGAAGACCTGAGTTCAAATGTGGCCACAGATACTTACTAGCTGTATGACACTGAACAAGTCACTTAACCCTGTTTGCCTCAGTTTCCTTATCTGTAAAATGAGTTGGAGAGGGAAATGACAAACCACTCCAGTATCTCTGCTAAGAAACTCCAAACTGGGTTATAAAGAGTTGGATGTGACTGAACAACAATCATCATTTTACAACTAACAATAATACATGTAATTAACACTTTACACTTTCAAGTTGATGAGACATTTTCCTCTCAACCTTATGAAGTGAGACTACAAATTTTATCATTGCTGTTTTACAGATGAAGAAACTGAGTCTCAGAAAGCTTAAATGATTTGCCCATGGCCTTAGAACTAATAGGGTCAAAGCAAGTATAGGCAAGTATAGGCCTCCTGATTTTAAGTCTACTTTTTTGTTGTTGTCATTGTAAAAACACACTGTCAAAGGACAGTTGTTTTTTAGAACCAAAGCTATGACAGAAAGATTGGAGTGGTTTCTAGTGGATTTGTGTGGTTAAGGGCTTCTTAGAGTGAGGGACCTACATGCACAGAAAATCCACAAAGTCAGATCTGATCCACAAAAGTCAAAATGGTACAATGTATACCAAACAGGATGGGCAAATTCCTGTGATTGCAGACCATTGGGCAGAGTGTATGGGAGTAATAACCTCACCATATATAATTGACTATACTTATCTAAAGAGTCACAGAATGTCAAAAGCTAGAAAGAACCTTAGACATAATGTGTCTATATCCTTCAATTTACAGAGGAAGAAACTGAAGCCTAGAGAGAATGAATAATTTGTCCAAATTTAAATAGTCAGTGTCAGTCTGGAACCCAGACTTTCTCACTGCCTGGTCAGAATTCTTTCTCTTGCCCCAAAGTCCATGGGACAAGTGCAAAAACAAGTGTTGGGGCAGCCAGGTGGCAGTGCTGTGCCTGGAGTCAGTAAGTCCTGAATTCAAATCCAGCTTCAGATACTTACTAGCTGTGTGACCCTGGGAGAGTTGCTTAACTTCAGTTTCCCTCAGTTGCTTTATCTATAAAATAGGGATAATAACAGCCCCTACCTCCCAGGGTTGTTGTGAGGATCAAATGAGATATAATTTGTAAAAGGCTTAGAACAGTGCTGGCACATAGTAGGCATTATATACATGTTTATCATTATCATCATCATTACTAAAATTATTTTTATTCTTTCTTAAGCAACTACACAGCACCTTATAGCTCTCTTATTGTAGTACCACATTCTGCCTTGTGTTATAGACAGAATTAATATGTGTTATTATGGACATGTCTTATCTCCCATATTATATTATAATCTCTGTGAGAGTAGGTAACATGCATGTATTAGGAATAATGGACTCTTAATCCCCATATGACAAATGATCAAAGGATAAGAATAGGCAATTTTCAGAGGAAGAATTCAAACCGTCAATAGCCATATGAAAACATGCCCTAAATCACTAATAATTAGAGAAATGCAAATTTCATAAAACTCTGAGATGTACCACCTCACATTCATCTGATTGGCTAAGATAGAAAAAAAGCCAAGTGACCGATGCTAGAGAGGCTATGTGAAAAGAGGTATATTGAAACACTGTTGGTGGAGCTGTGAACTAGTCTAACAATTCTAGAAAGCAATTTGGAACTATGCTCAAAAATATATTAAGCTGCTCATACCCTTTGACCTTGCGATACTGCTACGAGGTATATATCCTAAAGAAAACAAAAAAAGGGAAAAGGACTCTTGGTGCAAAAATATTTATAGCAGCTCTTTTTGTTATGGCAAAACATTGGAAACCAAAGGGATGCTCATCAACTGGGGATGATGGCTGAATAAGCTGTGGTATATGTGGATGCAATGGAATACTATTGTGCTATAAGAAATGATGAAAAGGATGGTTTTGGAAAAACCTAGGAAGACTTACATGAAATGAGGCAAAGTGAAGTGAGCAGAACCAAGAGAATAATTTATATAGTAACAGCAATATTGTAAAGATAATCAACTTTGAAAGACTTGACAACTCTGATCAACACAATGACCAAGCAAAATTCCAAATGACTCATGATGAAACATGCTATCCACCTCCAGTTAGAGAAGTGACAGACTCATAATGCTGATCGAAGCATCTTTTCCTTTCTTTTCTTTCTTTCTTTCTTTCTTTCTTTCTTTCTTTCTTTCTTTCTTT